CTAGGCTCTACATGAGCTATAAAACCACTAAAGATAATATTCTTTAATCTTGTACAACAGCAACAAAACGCATCTTGGCCCTTCATGCTTGATCCTATTGACACAAAATTAACTTTATGCCAGGGGAGGGCACCCACTGCATGCTCAGCACGTGTTTGTTGAGTGTGGTTTTTAAGATTAAAAGCACCAGGGAACCGCCTGAAACCCTTTGGTTCCTGACTAGGATGGAAAGCGCCATCGTGAAGATGGCTGACCTACCTTGCAAGGGAACATCAAGATTCACATTGGTTCTTTCCTGTAAGGAACTGCAGGCCAGGGCTTTGGCATTCTTCCGTTCCGCCATAATCTGAAGAAAAGACCACTTTAGTTTATGGTTACAGACTTCCTGTCTTCAGCTATTCGAGCCAGTAAAATGCCTGAGCTCATTTCACTTCTAAGTTAAACCAACTAGTCTATTGCTTGACTTCTCACTCCTGAATCATTTAGCTGCATATTTTGAGAACTGTGTTCATTTTCTCCAGGGTTAAGAGGAAAATGACTATCCTGTACAGTATCCAGTTTGGTTAAAATTTATTCTTCCAGTCACCAGAATCCCATCTCTATTAAAGCAAACAGAACAAATATCCCTAGTCATGCGTGGACCTGCTGGCCCATTGTGGTCAGGTGAACACAGAGCAATGGACTTCCCCCATTGCCTCTGGAGGATGACTTTTAGGTACTTTTCAGAGCTCTGAGAACAGATTACAGGAGTCCCCCCTTATACTCAGGCGACATTTTCCAAGACCCTCAAGGGATATCTGAAACCTTGGACAGTACTGAACTGAATATATACTATGTTTTTCCCTATACATTGATACCTATGATAAAGTTTAATTTATAAATTATACACAGTAATAGATTAACAACAATGACTAATAATAAAATAGAACAATTATAACACTACACTGTAATAAAAGTTGTGAATGGCTTTGAGGCCATTATTAAGTAAAATAAGGGTTACCTGAACACAAGCACTGTGATACCATGGCAGTGGATCTGATAAACCCAGAGGGCTACTCAGTGACTAGTGGGTGGGCAGCTTATACAGCATGGATATACTGGACAAAAGGATGACTCACATCTCAGGTGGGATGTAGCAGGATGACATGAGATTTCACTATGCTACTCAGAATGGCATACAATTTAAAACCTGAACTGTTCATTTCTGGAACTTTCCATTTAATATTTTTGAACTGCGATTAACCATGGTAACTGAAACCGTGGTAAGTGAAACTGCAGATAGGGAAGGACTTCTTACTGTACATGGGTTTAAATCCCACCTCCGCCACTAACTAGCTGGGTGATCCCTTGTGTCTCATTTCCTTCACTATACATGAGATGATAATATTTATGTTCACTACAATGTTATGTCAATTCTGAGGATTACATATAAGCACCCAAGAGATATTTGCTGCTATTGTTATTCTCGAACTGTCCAGATCTGTCAGCTGCCTTCCAAACTGTCTCTATTGTTAGAAACAATAATGTCTCCTTAAGTTTAGGGACTGAAAGCCCATCCTTCAATGACCCCTCAAAGCAATTCATATCTTCATTCCCAACCCCAGCTTTCTACACCAGGTGGAACGAAAGTCATTTCCTCCCCAAAGCTCCATTCTTCCCATCTCCAGATCTGTGTCTGGGACAGTGGGCAATATTTATTGAGCATTTACTGTGCCATGCCATGACCTGAGGGCTTTATACTAGAATAAAGGCTCCATGTGGGCAAGGACTTTTTTTTCCCTGTTTTGGTCTCTGCTGTCTCCCTAGAACGAACAGTGCCAGGCACATAAATGGTGTTCAACTGTATTTGTCGCATGAAGGGATGAAGAAAATAAAACCCGGGGAGTGTGCTGCAATCCTGCAAAAGGTATAGTCACGTCTCAGTCTTATCAATGCAAGCATGTGAGTACGGGTGGGATACGTGTGGTGATCCCTACGCCAGCACCCATACTGTATCCCCCTGTCCCATGGGTTAGAGCAGCAGGCTGGTGGGCTATTTCTTTTGGGGCTAGGGATAGCTCCTTGCCCTACCCCTTCTGTAAGAACTGTGGCTTGTACCTTCTTCACTTCTGCTGCTCAGATACTGGCCTGGACCATAGTGATGGCTGTGGCCATGACTTGGGCTTTGCCAGCTCAGGTGGAATTGTGAGAGTGAGCCTGGGTCATAACATCAGCACAAAACCAGAAAGGTGATGTTCAACAGAGGTGATGGCAAAGTCCTGTTTTTAGATTTGATAAATAAGTGTGATAAGTAAGTTCTGGCTGTTTGGCCACCTGCTATTTGAACACAAGCCAGTCTGTGATGTGGTTGCTAAGAACAACAATCACCACAGTGTTGAATCTTTGGAGGTCGTAAAACAAGGCGGTCTGTTCTCTGCCAGCCCACTTTGGGAATGCTGCATTCATTTGGGGAAACTAACCAGATTATGCCCAGAGGAAGATGGTTAGGAGCCTGGTAAGCACATGTCCTGAAAGTGGCTGAAGAGGCAGGGGTGGGGATTCCATAGAAGGGAGGCAGTCAGGAGCAGAAAGACTTGACGAGATACTTGTCCAGCACCTCTAAATGTGCCAGGCACAATGCACAGCCTTAAATATCTTCAAACAACAAAGGGTAGCCCAGCAAAGAGACAAACTAGAGGAATGTTTCTCTGTTGCTATAGATCACAGATCTCAAGTAAATGAATAGAGGTTTCAGAGAGGAAGATTTCTGGTCAACACCAGAAAGAACTCTGTAACAGCCAGAACCACTCAAAAATAGAAGAGTCTCCTGAAAAGTGCAAGACCCCACCAATGGAAGTCAACAGAAGTCAGTGGATATCCATGGATGTGCTGGGCAGAGGGTACAGATGCTTGTATTAGGATGCTGTGCTAGAGGGAGTGAGGAAATAGGGTTGGACCGGTGGTGTCCAACTGTTTTCGTTCTGAAGCTCTGTGACTCTGGTTAAGGAAGTAGGGCCCTTACCAGTGTGAGACAGTGACCACAGCCTTGCCTCACAGCTGGCAGTTTCCATGAGCTGCTGTTTGTCCTCATGAAGTCAGTGTATGTTCATGGGAACCCCCAGCCACCTACATTTTCACAGATGCCCCAAATGGTTTCTCAGTACTCTCCCCTCTGTGTTTACTCTTTCAGATCAGGTCGTCTATTTCCTGGGAAATCTGCCCTGACTCCTTTGCCCTGTTTTCTAGCTGGGCTCCATGTACACATCTCTGCCACTGCACCTGCCGCTGTTCTGTCCACCTGTTATACTCCCACTGTGGGTGGGACTAAAGCTCTACTCATTTTGTAGGTGGAGCACCATTTAGAGTGATGCTCGACACACAGTGAGAGCATTCTCCCAATCCTGGCTGAACAAGCAGTTTGCCTGCTTCTCCAGGCCTCAATTTGCAGGTCAGTGTGTCCCCTCTTCTGCCCTTTCACACCCCTTTCCTTGCTCAAGCAGTGAGAAAAGAGAGGGATAAACCACTGTGCCCTAACCCACCTTACCTTGGAACAGATTTCGTGGAGACTCGTGGCGATGGCTTTCGCTGGTGTGTCACATCGAAATACATGACATTTCAAAATTCTTGTGTCTTTGTCTCTTGCTACATAAGCAAAATCTCTGTGCAAACAAAAATTATCAGGACATTAGAAAAAGGAAACTATCAATACCCAGAAACAGTTTTATGGATATTAGGAAGTCATTTGAGTAAAATAACTGAAGGCATATGTGTTAAGTGGCGTTGAGCTGGCTCTGAATCCTAGCGACTCTGTGAATGAGTGATGCCCACAATGTCCTGTCCTCAGCGGCCCACTCAGCTCCTGTAGACTCATGCCTAAGGCTTCCTTTATGGAATCAAACCATCTCTTATTTGGTCTTCCACTTTTCTTGCTGTCTTCTATTTGTCCCAGAATTATTGACTTTTACAAAGAATCCTGCCTTCTCATGATGTGTCTGAACTAGGACAGCTTCGGTTTTGCCATTTTTACCTCCACTGATGTTTCAGGTGTACCTTGGAGATACTGCTGGTTTGGTTCCAGACCACTGTAATGAAGTGAGTCACATAAAATATTTGGTTTCCCAGTGCATATAAAATTAGGTTTACACCATACAGTAGTCTATTAAGTGTGCAATAGCATTATGTCTAAAAATATATACATACATTAATTAAAACCTTTATTGATAGAAAATGCTAACCATCATCTGAGCCTGTTGGAAAAATGGTGCCTACAGACTTGACAATTTGTAAAAATGTAAAATGTGCAAAGCACCATAAAGTAAAGTGCAATAAAATGAGGTATGCCCATCAGTGTTCCCCAATCCTGGTCTTCTGTACTCTTGGAATCTCTAACCTTAATGAACACTGAGTTTTAAAGAAATCTTTCTAGAGAAACGACAAACATTATGATTATAAATATTAAGATTTTAAACAGAAAACAGGCTTGAAAAGAATATGACTCAGTATAAATACTATTGCGACAAAGACGGTGGTGTAGCAGAAACAAACCGACAGACTCTGATGTGTAAACATGAGCACAGAGAAGGGATCAGGCCCACAGCTGCTGAAGGAAGTTGACAGGCAATCACAGGGTGAGCTGGAGCACAAAGAGACGCCACAGGCTGAAACTCCGCCACTAGCACGTGATCCTGTTAAGCACTTCTCGTACTCCAGAGCTCCGGGCAAGGGGAGGATTAGCTCAGACACCACAGTGAGCATGCAGCTGGAACTGGCTTTACTATCTGTTTTACTGATGAAAAGGATACTGTGACATTATCTGGCTTCGAAAGAACCATGCCAAATTTCTCACTGTTATTACTGGAGGAGAGTGGTTTAAAGATCAAAGTGATTATAAAAAATAAATGCCCAGATGTATCCATTTCGTAATAGATCACAACGATTTTATTCCATATGTTGCTAAGCCAGGATATTGTCTGTAGACTACAGGTTAATTCATTTTTAATTATTTCTTTTAATGTAAGAACTGGCAGTCTTTTCACAGGTTATGTTTGATGCTTTCCCCCAAATACCCTTGGCCTCCTTGGAAAGGCACAGGGATCCATGCACTGAAGGCCATCGGCCATCACGAAGGCCCAGCTGGAAGAGCCTCCCCGCTACTCCACCACCCCGCCGTGCCCCAGGCAGTCCTGTAGCAGGGTGGCCCTAAGCCCTGGCCCCAAGTCAGGGGCATCTTTACCTGGCTGCCCCACAGGCCCTTTGACCTTAGCCTGTCTATATCTTGCTCAGTGTCTTGCTGTCTACAACCTTCTCCTTCTTCCTCATGTCCCATCTCAGTCGGTATCCTTCATGTTTGAACCATCCTGACTCCTCACCATGTGTACCCAACTCCCAAGTTCAGCTTATATTACTTCCTGAAAATATCCTGAACCCACCCTTTCCTCATTGGCCCTACCACCATTCAGACATTCTAAGCAGGTTCTTGCCTCCCTGCCTTTGCTCATGCTATTTCCATGCTCTTGCCATGGTTTAGGACACAGCTGAAGCTGGATAAGCACCATTCCTGGTGCTGCATGGTTTCTCGTACACTGCATTTACCACTGGGTACCATAAGTGTCTGTTTATAAGTCTGTCTTCCGTACAACTCCTTGAAGCTCTGTGAAGATGATTTGCTCCTCATTCATTCCTGGTACCCAGTCCAGGCCCTGCCGTAACATATACTGAGTGCTCCTTCCTCCCGTCAGCACGGGGCCTGCAGCGCACATAATGAATTCCTGTCAGGAGAGCTGGCCCTTGGTCAGAGGCATGAAAGGGTCCTAGGACACTGGGCTAGAGGGTGAGTCTGAGAGAGGAGGTGGGCCAGACTTTGAAGGATAAGCACAATCTTCTTCCATGCTGTGTTTCTGAGGCCTTTCTATCCTAGTCTCAACTACCAACAAAGCAACATATTACTTGAAAAAGAGATGGAAAGAAGGCATCACCTTTGGAGTCCATGCTCAAGGGAAGCCCTGTTCTTGGCTCCCCTCCTTCTGGCTACTCTTCTTTTCTAGATGGATCCTAAAGTAACACATACAGTGTCTCACCACACACAACTTCTTTCCTTCAAAATTCCATGTTCAGCCACAATTTTTCTGAGGTCAAATTTCTTCAAAGCCCTAAGGTCACCCAAGCAAAGTCCTTTGTCTGGATTTTAGGAGCTCCAAAATCTGTCCCATTAACTTTTCTAGCATTGTTCCTCCAACGAAGGGGCACTCCCCTGTTCCAGAAAGGTGGGCCTCCATGTCTAATCATGGCATCTCCCCTCACTTTGTGACCACTGGCCTCCCTGCACTGTCTGGACTGCATCATTTCATCTACTCTGTATACTCCGGCCCAGAAGCCTGCCTGGCCCTCTGGCCCTAAGGACCTTGCTTGTGTGTAAATGCTTACAGCACTTAAATTCTGTTCAAGAGCTGTAGTTACTATACAGGTCTCAACTGTGTCTGTCCTCTCTCAGTAACAGTAAGGAACAGCCAGAAGGCAATGAATCAAGACTCAGGCAACCCGAATACTAGTCTTATTCTCGATTCCACTGAGGCATATAACTTTGGACATGGAGTCTAATCTCATCTCTAAGTAAGGGGAATATGCAAAAAAAACAAAAAACAAAAAACCAAATCATAAAAAACATGATTTTCAATGGCCCTTCCTGGTTTTGACACTGGTATAAGCTTCTAGATCCATTGTGTTCTCCTTGACTGCTGGCTGACCTACGGGCAGACGCTTCCAATGTTGCCAGCATGGAGGGTGAGACTAGCTGTGATCAATAAGCAGTGGATTGTTCCAATCAAATGTGGCTCTGTGCCCTCTGTTCTTTCCTATTTTTTAAAAAAATTATCATTAATCTTCATTTTCTTCTGGCTCAGGAGAAAGTGATTAACACCTAAGGCAACCACTTAGAACCTACATCTTCCCAAAACGAAAGCTCAGTAACCGTGGAGTTTGATTGGGAAATTTGGACAATTTTTTTACTGCCTCATCTTTTCCTGTTCTGTCCCAGGCACCAGGCTAATGATCAGGGAGGTAGAAACCTAAATGTCCATGAGTGTGAATAAACACGATAACTAACTTTTTGGGGAGTTCATTTGTTCCCAGGATAAAGCAATTCCTCACTATGGAGGTCAAGAGATTTGCATGTCTCTTCTATTTTATTCGCATGAAACATACCCTGTGTCATCCTAATGTAGCTGAAGCCCCAAACATGGGGATTTGTGAGAGGTGAGGAGGCCTCTTTTTAGACAAGTCGAACAACTTCCTTTATGTGCAATGAAGTATATGGCTGATCTAATCTCACTATCATTCAGAATAAAATCCAAACGCCTCTTAACTGGTTGTTGCTTGGCTTTTTAGTACACGACTTCCAAAAAAGGCTGTTGTGGTAGACAGAATAATGACCCTCCCAAGATGGTCATGTCCTAATATCAAGAACCTGTGTATGTGTCATCTTACTTGGCATGGCAAGATACTTTGCAAATGTGATTAAATTAAGGATCCTGGTATAGGGCTATTAACCTGGATTATTTGGGTGGGCTCAACACAATTACAAAAGAAGACGCTTTCCTTATGAGTGAAAGAACAGGAGCAGGGTCCACAAGCCAAAGAAAGCAGGCAGCCTCTAAAATCTGGAACAAGCAAGGAACTGACTTTCTCTTGGAATCTCTAAGAGGAACACAGCACTGCTAGCATCATGATTTTAGCCTGTAAGACCCATTTTAGACTTCTGACCTTTCAGAATATTAAGAGAACAAATGTGTTTCTTTAAGCCTCAAAGTTTGTGATAATTTGTTACAGCAGTGATAGGAAACTAACAGAGCTTCCAGATGGCTGTCTTTTAAAAAATTACGCTATAGCATTGAAGACTTATATTTAAAAAAAAGGTATTCACTTCCACAAATACCTTCTGAGCTATTATTATGTACCAGGTACCAGAGATGCAAACACAAACAAGACAAGGTTCCAGCCTAGGAAGCCCATTGTCTAATTAAACTGACCTCAGTGAGATATGAGCTACATCTTTAAATATAATAAGGACCTCACCAGAGTAAGAAGGGCAGTAGATGGTTCAAATGAGCATGAGCAAAGGGACGAGATAAGAAAGCCCACAAGAGTGTTTAGGAGAACTTCCAGTCGTCCCATGCATATACCTTTGGTCCTTTGGTGAGGAGCCATGATGTGGCAACTGGAAAGTTGTACAGCAGTCTAGAATCTGTTTGTAGAGTGCCTTGTGCCCTGACAGGAGTCTAGTCCTTATTCAGAGCCAACCAAGCCTTGACCCCATCTGACATGTGTTTTAAAGTTCCTTCTAGTGGAATGAAGTGGGTCAAGAAAGGAAACACTGCGGGCTACTGCTATGGTCCAGGTGAGAGTGGATAAACAACGTGCAGGCTAAGTTAGCATCCTGAGAATAGGGTAGAGGAGACAGATGGAAGAGACGTACTGACAGGATGGTGTAGATGAGGGAGAGAATCAAGAATAACTCTGGAGTCCCTGCTAGGACAACTAAGCACCCTCCTACTAGGGCAGGGAGAGGGGAGGGACGTGGTGAAGGAAGCCGATGAGCTTCAGGTTGGACAACAGAGTAGGAGATACTTGAGGGACAGCAGGTGGCCAGGCCCTTCGAGCAGGTGGACATGTAGTCTCTGAAGTCAGGGGAGCAGATGAGAGTGTGAAAAACAAGAAAAGACAAACCATGCCTAAACCCTAAGGAAGAAACACATTAAAAGGTTTAATTGAGGCTGAGGGCCCAATGAATGTGAATGGTGGGGAGGTGGAAGGCCTAAAGACAACAAAGAAGGGTGTTTGTGAAGTCTCCAGAGCTGCAGAGGCTGAACAGCAGGAGACCGGCAACATGAAGGTCTGTGGTGACGTTCGCCTCCTGGGCCCTTTCCCTGGAGAATGAAGTTCGGGACCCAGCTTCAGGAGACTGAGAAGCACAGAAGTAAAAAAAAAAAAAAAAAACAACGAAAAAAATCCAGAGTACATATTCCTTTTTCTTTTTCTTAAACCTTTCATTCTGGAACTTTTCAAACATTCACAAAAGTAGGAAGGATAGTCAGTGAACTCCCATGTCCCATCAGTCAACTTCAACAATGATCATACATTGCCTGACTCAGCCTTTCAGATAGATGATTTTTCCAATCAGTGTTATGATCCTAAAAGACCATAAACTCTTTGCTCACATGTAAGAGCAATTTAATATTTTCTAGAGATTTTCCTGTATTCTGAGGGGGACAAGAAATTGCTTTATGATAAACCTTCACAGTTAGAGTATTCTTTACCGACTGTGCAAATCAAACTGTCATATGGGCCCAGCACCACTCATGTGAATTTGACAGAAAGCACCAGGTGCCGTCAGGTATCACAGAGCCAGTGACTGTGACACTGTGTGAGGGTGCAGGACAGTCCACTGTAGGGCATTTTAGGTGCCTTCACCTGTGGAGCCCTCAGTGGCGCTCCCTCATACCCCTTCACTCCTCAGAGCTGCCAGTGGCGCTTGGGCTGCAACTACCTGGATTCCACAGCACCAAGAGTTTCCTATCTTGGAGCTGAGATGGGCTCAGATGGGCTTCTATGCCACCTCCAAATGACCGGGTACTCCAGTGGTCATGCACCTCCAGAGCCTCAGCATGCTCATCTATAAAACCACAGAGTTGGCCCAAATGACCTGTGAAGTTCCAGTCAAACTACAGGTCCTGTCTTTTCCAACAAATTCTTCTAGATAGCTGTCTGTCTGAGACATTCTGTCTGACATTCACCAGCAGAAACCATTTTCATCCTTTGTTCCAACTCACTCCATTTACAACACTGGTCCAGGAGCCATTTGCTAAAAGAGGCATTTGCTGGTCGGGTCCCCTGCTCCCCACACATGGAGTTTCATCCCACTGCTTTCTTGAAGTCATGGGAATCACTGAGTTTCCTTTATAAACCAGGAAGTGGAAGGTTTACAGCTGTCACTTGTTGTGTCCCTTCTGTAAACCATACCAGAAGCGAGTACCAGGAATCAACTACCTTTTACCATTTGTTTACTGAGCCCTTGTGTTTCCGGCTCGTTTTGTTCCTCTCCTTTTGCTGTTCTCCCTGGCTAATTATTCTGCCAGGGGACCAGCCTCAGGTTCTGCCAGGGAAAAATGTCGGTACTATGATATCTTCACATGATAGCTTCAAATTTCTTAATGCCCACCTCTCCGCCCCGCCCCAAAAAGGTTGCTTTTACTATTCTCACTTGAACAGCGTTTTAATCAACCTTTGGATGGTTTAATCCATCTTTATGGAACAAATGAACAATTCTTTATTCAAATGGACTTTATTAAAAAATAGCCAAGAGAGAACTGCTCACCCTTTCCCTAAATCGCTCCCCCAGAACTCCCTTACGTAAATGGGATTTGCGTAAAGATTTTAAGAGGAATCTACAGATCTCTTACTACTTACTTAGGCTAACATTTCAAAGTCTCATCTACTGCAGCCCAGACAGGTGGTACTGAGAATATTCTAGTGACATGAAATCTTACTTAATGAATCAACCTGTTCATTTGCTGGAATGTTCCTGGTAAACCAAAATATATTTTTTCTAAATAATGAACTGAAACTTGCCTACCTGCAGCTTTTGCTTGTGAGATCGAGCTTTGCTTTCTGGAGCAACCCACAACAGGCGATCTCGTCAGCTACACAGCCCAGACTTGTCTGGCAGCAACTCCTCCTTCTTTTCTGTTAGACTCCATTCCATTTACTCTCTCACCAAATCTCCTCTGTTAGTGTCCCTTATCACGTCTCCTTAATTTGATACCTTCTTCCACAGAATCCGTATTTGCTCAGGTCAAATGCACATGTTTGATAATGGGAATTTGTGAAGGCTGACATGTGATAGCCTTTCGATTAATGGTAGTTATTATTATAATGTTGTAAAGAACTCAAAGAAAAAGCCCACTTTGAAATACTGTCTTCTTACCCATGAAGGATGCATAACCAGTCGCATGTCTGTGAATTATAAAGACTTGCTGAAATGTACTTAAAGGCCCTTTCCTTCCACGTTATCTTTTTGTAGAAGCTGTAAGTCGCCAGAGTTGTTACTACTACAGAGGGCAGTGCCACCCTACGTGCAAATAAGGACAAAACAGCAGCAAAGAGATTTGATGCAAACATCCCATTTCTAGTCCTTTATGATAAAGGGCTTTCTCTTTTCTTTGTTTCACCTCTACAGGGCCTGGAGGGAGGAAGAGTCCTGTTTCAAGACTGCCTGCTCTGCTCTTCTTTGCCTAACTGCTCTTTTTTTCCTCATTGTACTTTGAAAATCTTGTTTTGGGGGTGGAAGGAGGGAAGAAGAAGGTGCTGAGAGATGTTATCTTCCCAGATGGCCAATTTAGAAAGTTATATACTCACATACGGCGTTGCTTTTTCACTTTTATCCAGTGGCACATACACCACATGCAGGCGTCATTACTTTCACAAAGCTCAGGCTTTAGCTTGGTAAATCAACTTTTTTCCCCCTTCCTTACAAGCTTAAGAAGATGCTAAGTTTATAAACTCTAAAAGGTGCATCCCAGGAACTTATCACCGGGGTAAACACACATTCTCCACAGGGAATCCTTGACCAGGCACCTTCGTGAGACCACAAAGGCAGTGGAAACAGCAGATCTGAAATTCTACCACAAGCAAATAATTCAGGTGGCTTTCGTGGACCAGAATCTGTAGCCCTCTCCAAAATACAGTCTTACTGTTAATATTCAGAGCAACTGCTACTCAGTGGGGAGACCTGAAGGTAGGAAGTAGCAAACATCTAAAAACATCCTCACTACTGGCTTACACAGGACTTGCCCTCTCTTTAGATGAGGGAGCTCATGTCTGAACACACAGCCTTCATCCTCCAGAACCTTCCACCACCTCCAGAGGTCAAGTTTGCAAATACTCTTAATTATACCCCCCGGAAGATTGAAAGTGTTCACCAACCAGTCTATGCCATCTCCCTTTCCATCCTCACCACTGAGCACAGACAGCAGCTCATCCTCAGGGAGGAAAATGGCTGCCAGCTAGAGATCGCTTGGCCTGCCAGGCGGGAGTTCGTCTGAGATTGGTGCAGACGCAAAAAGGCGACTGCCTGTGTCTCTCTGTCACGCAGTAACCACAGCCATTCTTTCAAGGAGGAAAATTTAAAAATTTTCTTCCATCAAAAATGGGGCTTTTATTAAGTGACAGAGCTATGGAATGGTGGAGCATGAAGTGCCCAATTAGCCAAATGGGCAGGCTGACATTCAAAGCACACACATCTGAGGTATAAATGCCTTTCATTTTAGAGTTATATCCTTCCCTTAGTTATCTTCTTCTCGATGTGGGAAGGGAAAAGAATTCCATATATTTTCACTAATAATTGAGATTGAAATTGAGTCAGTCCTTGTAGCTATTAGCCTAGAGCAAAACCTTACCAACAAAACTAGAGAATATATAATGTAAGTAAGTCTTGTTGATATTAATTCAAGAAGCATGAAAAGTCTCCTTATACAACAAGGTACATAACCTAAATATTACTATCATGTCTACTCCCTAACATGCTTATGAGACTTTTTCAGCCATTAGTGAGAGTGACCAAGTTCCTGTTATACTTAATCACACTGACTATCACCTTCCCCAAACAGGGTCGAACTCAACAGAGGTTTAGGGACTCAGATGCAACTCCATATTCTATTTTAAATGTGAGACATATAAGAATGATAATGATAACGGGTTAAACATAACGAAGTTCTGCCTTTCAAAGACAACGATGGCTGTGATGACGGCAATATGGCATGAAGAAAGCAAGAGAGCTTTACCAGACACTTTAAGACACAAGGAAGAGGGAGAAGTGAAAATTGATTGGTTACCTCTCTCTGAATCCGGGAATGCATGAGGGAACAGAGCAGAAACAACACGTTAGTATTCACACAGCATCCAGTAAATAAAACAGTCGTGTTAACAGCAACTCTGAGCACTGACATTCCATTTTATTTCCCAACTTTGCTGCAATTAATAGCCCTTCAGTGCTTATTTTAGCTGAACTCTTACACAGAAGTGTGTATTTTGAGCCACTTTACGATGAAGTCAAGAGATGCCAGCTGAGTTCAGAGGCAACATATCAGCCAGGGGAGGTAATCGAGCTTAAAATATCACGGTCAAATACAGGAAACTGTCTGCAGTAAACACTGGCAGAGCACTTATCTTCATTTTCCAGCTCCACCTGTTCCCAATAAAAAAACATATGGAAACAATGACATGGAAACAGCCTTATCCATTTTACTAGCACTCCTGACATTCTATTAACAGGGCTACATTATAATTTAGGTAACTTAATTTCCTGAAATGCATCATGAGAGGGCAACAGAACAGGAGGGAGCAAAGGCAGAGCAGAAGGTCAAGGGCAGAGGTGGGGAGTGGGAGGGCCAGGAAATCAGCACTCAAAAGGGTGAGGAAACAGACATGTGCCAAGGCAAAGAGGAGCAGCATGTGGAGAGAAGCCGACAGCGATTTGGGGCTTGGGGCCGAACACCCTGAGTTCCACCCCCAGACTGCTCTTGAGCCACCAGGGTTACCCTAATGAATACCCTAATGAAGGCAGTTAATCTCCTGAACCAGAGTGCTTACGTCACCATCCCCTTCTGGTCTCATCACAGCCAATTTGAAAGGGCGCGAGAGCAGAGCCCTCAAGTCGGTCACATGCATGCATTATATGTAAAGCAACTGGATTGCAGGGGCAGGAGCACCAGACAACACGGAGGCCAGGAAGAAAGCCAACTTTCACAGAAACCACTCTTTTAGGTGCCCTGTAGCCAGGGTCATGGAGCAGCCAGCAGGACCCTACAGATATGAGAGCTAAAATCCCAGTGTGAAATAGCAAGCACGCCTGCCAGTGAACCACAGTCATTACATGGGAAGGCAGAGCTGTACATTCTGATATAGAACAGTGACAATGACATATTATTAAGTGGGGGAAACCAAACAGGCAAACAATCTAAGTTGCAGATACATGGTCTTGTCTGAAAAGCAAAGTTCGAGTGTGCATATGCATAGTAAAAAGTCTGGAACGTAAATAACATCCAGACTGTCAGTTGTCATCTGGAGGAGGAATTATGGAGGATTTTATTTAGTCTATTTGTTCGAATATTACACAATAAGCACATGCGACTTTTCTAATACAAATAAGTGAATATCTCCACATTTCAGGGAAACCACTGTGATGAGCATACGCCAAGGACCAGGTAACAGCACTAGAATATGTGTGACTACTATAGTCACATTCCCAACAACTATGCCTTATTGAGCTCTGGCTCTGCGTTGCCCTAACAGCAACTTGACAAGGTAAATATTACTGTTCCCACTGATAGAAGAGACAAATTCAGAGAGGTTGAGGAACTTGAAGGTCACATAGCTAGTACATGGTGAAGTCAGAGTTTGATGGTGAGTCTGCAGTACTCTCTAATTCTAGCCTTCTTAGGATGCACATATGATGGGTATGCAACACTTCTTCATAGCCTTGCAGAACCATCTTATGGTTTGTCTCACAAATGACCCACGTTACTACGCACAGCTGTTTAAGAAAGGAGCAAAGGGTTTGGTAAAGAATCTGGGATTTTAGATGAATGAGGAGCCTCTTTCTCTTTCCTTGGCCTGTGAACTTCTGAAGGGGAGAAAGTGGATGAAAATTCCCGAGAGGCCCTTTAGGCTGAGTAGACAGAATTGTGTTCAAATTCTGCTGGTAGTTGTGTTCCTTCGGGCATGTTACGTATCTTCTCTTTTTCCTGGGCTTCCTCTATGTGCCAGGTTAGATGGTGTCCCTTCTGGAACCTGCTTCTGCATCAGTGAAAAAGGGGTTAGGACAGCTGGCTCAGGGCAATCATGAGAAGAATTATATGTGTAAGAGAGTACCTGACACGAAACAAAACACAATAAACTGCATCATTATAGTTAGTACCACTGAGTCACTTGATGGTTTCATGTCTCAGCTGAGTCGTGCTGGGCAGGCAACATTTGGGACAAAATATCTCCCATGGAAGGGAGGTCAGCTGGAGAAGGATTTGTGGCCCTCTCCTTGGATTTGCTGGGTACGTGACCACAGAACGAGGGGCAGTCACCTCCTGCTCACGTCCTTGTGTAATGCCTCAGCCCCACTATCAAAGTTAGTCTTTAGAGGCAATTCAGATAATCAACAAAGGATCCAAAAACCTGGATTCCAGTCTAATGCTGAGTAAACATTAGGCAAGTCACTTAACCTCTTCCGAGTGTGGAGTTTCTCATCTCAGATTAGATGGTCTAGGAATCGCCTAGTACTCAGATTTCTATCAGAAAAGGATTTGTTAGGAGCTTCGCCTCCTACTAAAAAGATCGGTAGGTGGTAATTCTTTGAACCACTTTTGATATATACCAAATGTTTTTAGTTTTTATTCTTTTGCTTTAAATTTTATTTTATTATTAATTTCAAGTATACAGTACATTGGTTAGACATTTGTATAGTTTATAAAACGATCCCCCTAATTGCTCGTTCTCTCTTCTGGCTTGCCACCTAGCCATATTAATGCTAACTGCACTCCCTATGCCGTGCTCCCCATCCCCATGACCATCTATCAACCTCGAATTTGTACTTCTTTAACCCTTCACTCCATTCTCCCAGACCCCTAACGCCCCTCCCCTCTGGCCATCACCAGATTATCCTTTATATTTGTGAATCTATTTTTGGTTAGTTTGTTCTTTTGTTCTTTAGATTCTGCATATAAATGAAATATGGTATTTATCTTTCTCTGATTTATTTCACACAGCATAATAACCTCTAGTTCCATCTATGTCATTGCAAATGGTAGGATTTCATTTTTTTAATGGTTGAGTAATATTCCATTGTATATATGACCCATAACTTCTTTATCCAATCGTCTGTTGATGGGCATTTAGGTTGCTTCCATATCTTGGCTATTGTAAATTGTGCTGCCATGAATACTGGGGTGCACAGATCTTTATGAATTATTGTTTTGGTTTTCTTTGAATAAATACCCAGAAGTGCAATTGCTGAGACAAAAGGTAGAAAAGTTTTTGAGAAACTTCCATACTGATTTCCATAGCAGCTGTACCAATCTGCAATCCCACCAACGATGTATGAAGTTTCCCTTTTCTCCGCATCCTTGCCAACACTTGTTTTTCTTTGATTTATAGATGATAGCCATTCTGACAAGTGTGAGGTGATATCTCTATTGTGGTTTTAATTTGCATTTCTCTGATGGTTAGTGACCTTGAGCATCTTTTCATATGTCTATTAGCCATCTGTATTTCCTTTTTGGAGAAATATCTGTTCAGGTCTTCTACTCACTTTTTAATTGGATTGTTTTTTTTTTGTTGTTGTTGAGTAATATGAGTTCTTTATATATTTTGGATATTAACCCCTTATCAGATGTATCATAAGTGAATATCTTCTCCCATTCAGTTGGTTGTCTTTTCGATTCATTGATGGTTTCTTTTGCTGTGCAAAAAGTTTCAGTTTGATGTAGTCCCATATATTTATTTTTTCTTTTGTTTCCCTTGCCTGAGGAGATATGTCCGAAGATAAATTACTAGTAGCAATATCAGAGAGATTACTGCCTATGTTTTCTTTTAGAAGTTTTATGGTTTGGGGTCTTACATGTAAGTCTTTAATCCATTTTGAGTCTATTCTTGTATATGGTGTAAGAAGATGATCCAGTTTCATTTTTTTTTTTTTTGCATATATCTGTCCAATTTTCCCAGCACCATTTATTTTAGAGACTGTCTTTACCCTATTATAAATTCTTGCCTCCTTTAGTTTTTTATTCTTAATGAAAAGCTTATGCATAGTGTATGGCAAAAACATTGCCCAATAACCTTAAATCTAGAGTCTTGAGAATACAATATTTTTCTTTTGTGTATAATTATTATTGGAGCCTTGGATATTTTAAATCAGACCCATTACTAGTGATTCGCCTAAGGAAATAACATCAATACGTAGCCACCGTGGTTTTCCCTGAAGGCAGAACTTGGAAAAATGACATTACAAACTTTTAGCAAGGTTAATTCTTTTGGGGTTAATAGACATGCTTGATTTAAGTGTCAAAGTGAAAATAGGGACTTTAGAGTGATCTTTGAAATGTCATTTAAAAAATGCAAAAGAGTCACAGTGGCAGCCGCTACACCAATTTGACACCTTATAAATTTGTCAGGGAAAAAACATCAGCCCAAAGCTGTGCTTCTGCCTGAGACACACTATTCTGAGAGTGGAGAAGGCTAAATTTAGAGTTGGGCACAAGCTTACTCCCTTCTCATAGTACAAGCTGCCAATGGGAAGAATTAAACCCCAGAATTAACTCCACACCAGCCGCATACCCAAGGCTGCCTAATCGGTGATCTGTGTCTTGGGAAAATGAATGTGGGAGTAATTGGCATTGCTTTCATTAGAATAAGCCTGGAATAACAGAACTACCTGGCATGTGTAACTGGGCATCCAAATAAACAGGACACTTCTCAAAATAAATAGCACACCAGAATGACAACGTCTGTTTCAGCTTTTTGGAAGAGGACACTTCTCCTAATTCCCAGCACAGCCATCTACTTCTTATGCAATATACAACCATACTGCCGTCAACTTTTCACAAACAGCAAGAAAAGCAGACTTGCCAGTGTGCTTCTCGCTCCATTTTTGCACTGCTTTGTGCTACTTTTTAAATGCTTGTATTTCATCACTGGGGTCTTTTGAGCACCAGCAAAAAAAGCTATCATTCTCCACATGCAAAGAAGTAAAAACTATAAAACTTTTGTGAAAACTCTCATGCCAACTCCTCTGACAGTTTCCCACCCCGCCCCCGCAGCTTCAAGTGTTTTTGCTTTTTGTCCTTGACAT